CGGAATGTGTTTCGCTTGCAAGTGCGGCTGTTTGATAGGCGTTTTAGTTCTACACACTTCTTCACCTATGACTGCCGTTGCATGCAGCCTTTGGGGGCTTCTAGTGCATGCATTGGTGGCTGTATTTGCACTGACTAGTGGGAACAACACGACGAACGTGGCCCGAGGCCTTGTATGCCTGCAGGGCAAACGCGTACTGCATTTCAGCTGCTTCTATCGAGCGCGAACATCAAGTGCATGCATGCTTGGTGGTGCGTGTTGTGCATGAATTGAATACATGTGTGGTGGTTGGTCTCGTACTGGAGTGCCTGCTGGGGGGGCCCGGGGGCCCCTCATGCAAACTCCACCTGCAGCCTGTGTTCCTTTTCTAAGGCCAGATGGCTGTGACATGCGCTAGTGCGCTTTCCTGTATCTCCGTCTATACTGCGTTGAGCTCAGCTGCTGCTGAGCTCAACAGGGCCCCTGCGCGCTACCTGCACTGTGGCCGCGGGCCGTTTGGCCCTTCGGGGGGCCCACCTGGGCTGGGTCCGCCAAGGGGCCCCCTACACTCTGCTCTGTTAGTAAGAGCGGCTAAGAGGTTTCTGCGGGCAGCCTACGGGCGTTAAACCCTTCAAGAGCTCTCCTGCGATAGTCTATTGGGTCCTCCCCACGATCTGTAGTAGCAGCTCCTTGTAGCTCTCCGCCTTGCTGCTGTTGCTGCTGCTGTTGCTGCTGCTGTTGGCGGTGTTCCTGCAGGTGCTGCCGCATCGCCTTACTCCGGAGGTGCTCTTGCAGCAGCTGCTGCTGCTGCATGCGGTCTCTTTGTTGCTGTATGTACTCCTGTCGCACTTCAGGGTCCTGCTCACCCTGGAAGTAAGAGTCGTCTTTATCTTCAGTACTTGCAGCTCGCAGGGCTGCGCTGCCTCTTCGGCTGCCCCTGCTGCTGCTGCTGCTACTGTTGCTGCTGCTGCTGTTGGCATCTGCTTGTATAGGTCTGAGGAAGTCGTTGACTATGCTCTCTACTTGGTTGTTTAGTTGCTGCAGATTCATGCGCTGCCCTTGTCCCTCCCCCTCAGCTGACGACAGCCCCCAATTTTCCGGCTCAGCAGCAACCTCAAAGAAAGTGTTTGCTGCTGCTTGTGCTGCAGCAAAAGCAGCATTCAGAAACTGCCGTCTTCGTCGCCTTGCTGAGCCATCTTCTTCTTGCTCCTGCTGTGGCCCCTCCTGAGCCTCCAGCTGCTCTCGTTCCTGCTCTAGCTGCTGCTGCTGTTGAAGCCGCTGTTGCTGCTGCTGCCGTTGTTGATCCTGCTGAGGAGGCTGCGGCTGCTGTTGAATGGGCTGCTGCAGCTGATGCTTCAGCTGCGCAGCCTGTTGCTGCAGGT